TCAACAAGTAAGATTTTCATGAGCCAAGTGCAGTTACATATGCTTCACAAGGCCTCGGGCTCAAACTAGTGTGAGTTAAATACAACTCACATGGCAGTTAATGTATGAAGAGCTAATGACTGCTGGGTTGTGGTGGCTCACACCTGTAATCTGAGCACTCTATGAGGCTGAGGCAGGAGAATCACTTTAGGTCAGGAGTTCAAGACCAGCCTGAGCAAGAGTGAGACTCCATCTCTACTAAAAATAGAAAAAAAATTAGCTGGGCATGGTGGCTCGTGCCTGTTGTCCCAGCTACTCAGGAGGCTGAGGCAGGAGGATTGTTTGAGCCCAGGAGTTTGAGGTTGCAGTGAGCTAGTCTGATCCCACTACATTCTAGCCAGGGGCAACAGAGTGAGACTGTGTCTCAAAAAAAAAAAAAAAAAAAACTAATGACTAAAAATTTTCCATTTTATGAATATCAGAAATTGGTTATTTTTAAAAAGAATCTGTTAAATTTGAGATCACATGCCCAGAGAAGCACAGAGGCCAGTCATATTCCAGAATATATTCTATCATCAGGTAGCTTACTATAGACTCAAACAACTAAAACTAGTTTGCATACCATCTAGAAACTATCTTTAGAGCAAAAGCCACAGATGCCAGATTTCTGCAACTCACAGACCCTGTTCCAACTTAACTCCTGTCACTGACTTATCTGGACATGTGGGAGGGCAGGAGAAGAGAAAAAAAACATGGAAAAATTACAAATTGTCAGTTACAAGTAGGTTTCTAGCCATAAGAAATTCAATTAATATATATTGAGCCTCTGTGTTATGCCAAACTCAATCTTCTCTTGAAATATAAAAACTAAAAAAAAGCCAAAGAATTTGCAAATAGCATTGCAAGATTACCCATCTGCCCTTAGAGTTCAATGGAAAAAAGATCGTGATAAATGGCATCTTTACTGGATTTTCAGCATTTAACATTCAACTATCTAGACAAAGCCTTTGACATCTAGTTTAATCCTTTGTTTCATAAGGATATGCAAGACCCGAGCACCAAGGTCACGTAGCAAATAAGCGAGATGGGAAATAAAAATCATGTCTGTTGATCTGCCTGTGGCAGCACAGGCAATTTACATTATTTGGTAACTGTACCAAATGAATTACTGTCATCGGCAGTAAGTCCTTTAAAAGGCTAAGGGCATCGCCTAATTCATTACCAGTTGCTCTATGCTGGACACGCTCAGAAGGAGCTTACATCGATTTTCTGGTGCAAGTCCCTGCTCAATATAGTCTTTGATAAGGAAGAAAAAAAGCAAAAAAAAAAAAAAAGAAAAGAAAGAAACAACAACAACAAAACAAACAAAAGCAAAAACAAAAAACGAGGATTACGAAGGAGCCTTGGGGAAACAACTGGATGCTCAAGTTAATTCCTACGCACGTCTACTATGATCAGAGTCAGAAATAGCATCCTATGGAAGTATTCCAAAGCTAAAGCTTGCACAAGAAAAATCAGTACAATGAATATTCTCATGGTAAATGATTTTACAACATGTTCCAAGTTCTAGAACAGTTCCTGGACTTTGTCTGTATCCTTCAGAAAATGTTTCCTGTGGCATTCGTGGCCAGAGGCATCAGAATAAGAGCTCAACCCTGACCTGCTCAGGATACAGGTCTTGCGAGGGAGGCACACCAGCTGGCAGGGGGTCTGGGCAACAACAGCTGAGTGAGAGGCACACACACAGCGTGCCAGGCTGCACGGGACATGGTCTTCATACTCTTCTTGGCAGCAACAGGAGTGGGAGCCAACTCTTGACACATTCTGCCCCATCAGCTCAGGGGTCTAGGACAGTCTCACACTCATTCACATCCGAAAACAGAAGAAATCGAATGCTCTGGTCAGTCTCCCTCTCTAGTCCCTTCTACAACACCATCTTCCAGGCTATTCTGAAGGCTCATCCTGTCCTTCCTCCTCTTGCTGGTCTCCAAGCTGTTCCTTGAACACACCAGGCACAACCATGCCCCAGGGTCTTAGCACATTCTGGAAGCCTCTCCCCCAGGTCTTCTCAAGGCAGCCTTTCCTCACCACCTTTCAAATACTATAATCTCACACATGCACCCTATTTAATCCCCTTTCTGATTGTTATTGCTAGAACATAACTACTCCACACTAGTTTATTTTCTCTGCCTTCTGACTACACTGTCAAGTCATGAGGGAAGGGATTTGTCTTTTAGGCTCACTATTAAACCCCAAGTGTGCAGGACAGTGCCTGACCCCTAGTAGGAATGCAATAAAATATAGTACATAAACGGTGCATTGATAGCCAACCCTTCCTTGGGTGGGGGCCAAGCATAACTTTCCCACAGCAAAGACAGAAAGCGCCTGCTCTCCATGGGAAATGACACGGACACGCATCAGGGGATTGGCCTGGTCACTCGAACCGGCTGAATGGCACCCAATCCTCCACACCCACACACCGTCCACCCCCAGCAGCCAAGAGACACACCCATACTGCCAAGGAAGGGGAACTTCTTCTCCACCTTGTGGGTGCCTACAGCGTCCTTGATGAGGCCTTAACTGGTAAGACAGGGAGTCAGGCACACCCACTCCTTGAGACATCAAGTGTAGCCAGAACGTGTACGTGACATTCTCGGCATCTTTTCTAGGAATGTTTTGGAAGGGTAGAGAAGAAAACACAGTCTAAATACTTCTTGGTAGAGAAATATTAAATAGTTTATAAAGACTAAGACTAGATGATATAGTTATGAAACTATTGTGGACTATGGCATTTATTAGTTTAGCTTCTGGTTTAAATTCAGTTCATCTCTGTATAAAAAGCTGATCTCTCACATGAAAATTCAGCACAAGGAAAATGTGTTGGGTTTGTTTTTTTTTTTTTTTTTTTTGAGACAGAGTCTCACTCTGTCACTATGGTTAGAGTGCAGTGGCATCATCATAGCTCACAGCAACCTTAAACTCCTGGGCTCAAGCAATCCTCCTGCCTCAGCCTCCCGAGTAGCTGGGACTACAGCATGCACCATCACACCCGGCTAATTTTTTTGTTTTTTTTGTAGAGATGGGCTCTCATTCTTGCCCAGGCTGGTCTCGAACACTTGACCTCAAGCAATCCTCTGACTTTGGCCTTCCAGAGTGCTAGAATTACAGGCGTGAGCCACTGTGCCCAGCTTAGAAGATTTTTACTTGTAACCTTCCTGGGACATTAGTGACCCTGGCCACAGTTCATTGTATTACACCAGGTCCTTCACCCGTTTACAACAAAGGAAGGGAAATTGTGTCAAGATCTTGTTTGACACTCTAGTTTTAATCTTTCGTGGGTTTTTTTTTTTCTTTATTTCAGGTACTTGGACTCTAAATAGAGAGGCTTTTTTCTTCCCAAGCGGAATAACTCCATTGTTAACACATCTTGAATAAAACTACTGAAACATGTTCCTTTCCATTCCAGTTAGCCTGCTATCATCATTTTGGGGTGAATAGTAGGTTTTTTCCTAAGATCTGCAAGCAGACATAGAGAATATGATTGTATGGAACCACCTTTGCTCTTTATGACAACTCGTCACAACTCGACACATCCCTGCCAACAATGGTGGAGGCTGCCTTCAGACCAGAACACGAGGGACCCCACAAGCCCCAGCAAGAGGTAGATAGCTGTTGCTTATCTCTATTAGGATTGTCTTTTTTCTGAATGAAGATTTTCTTCAAGAACAAAAGTTTGAACAACTTACTCCAGGAAAAATCCACTAAGTACACACTTAGTTATCAATTATTAAAGTCAAGTCAGGGCTTCCTGATAAAAAGTAAAGAACTTTGTCTTCTGTTCCCACTTTTGGTTTTATATGACTACCTTTAGCATCTGTTGCATATCTCTTTAGTTATGAAAAAGGAAGATCCATAGTGCCATAGGCCACGCATTCCAGTGTACACAGTGTACACTGTGTTCATAATTGTAGTTACAAGTTTGCATCTTTTTAGAACATTTACATTGCTATAGTGTTTCAGTGGCTACAAAGGAGTCAATCAAATATGATCTCCTATTTAATCTTTTTAGGTACTCATATATATTTCTATTATGATAATTCTGTGATGAATATGTTAATGTATGAGTTTTTCAAATTATATATTCTTGGATTTCTAGAAGTGGAATGTTTGGGTCTGAGAGCCGTTTGTTTTTGGCTCTTGATATATCTATTGCCCTGTTTTCCAAAAGGCATAAGACAATTCATAGTCCTGTAAGCAATATCTTACAACTACTAGCCCTTTATAGCTTGTGTTGCATGCCATGCATTATTTGACACTCTTTGTATTAACTCATTTAATCTTCACAATAATCTTTTGAAGTAGGTACTATTATCATTCCCATCTTATACAGGAGGAAGCAGACAGAGAGAGGTTAAACAAGTCATGACAGATCTTTTTACATGAGGAAGGGGAAGGATCATTTTGTTAAATGAAGGAGAATGTTGAGGGGAACCAGAGTTGCCATAGTTACTGATGTCTGTCAGAGTAAGATTTTACCCATCTGAACTTAGAGGAGATCAGGAGCATGGGATGGGTGGTCCTTTGTTCCACCCAACTGGCTTTTGGTCCTTTCCCCAAATAGCTCATCAACCAGGTCAGAAATCTGGCAATAATGCAGGTGGTAGTTAGTGATATTAGCAGTAATAGTATTCCTAGTCAACTAAGTCTTGGTAAGTTAGAAACTTTTAGAACTAGAACCTTGTTCAACTTACATATGGACTTTATAGAGGTAAGAAAACAAATTCAGAATGGGAATTTCGTACAAAACCCTTTCCGGGACTCATCTGAGACTAGAACCTAATCGTTCTGAATCCCAGTTTGATGCCCCACTCCACCCAAAGTCCCACTGCCCCTCAGTTGTGTTCCCTGATCCCAGCTAGATGGCAGACCAGCAAGTTAAAGTGTAGAAAACAGTTTCCCACCCAGGAAAGCACCAAAATCCAGCAGTGAGTGAGTGAGTGTGTGTGTGTGTGTGTGTGCATACATGTATGAATACATGCCTATGCATGGTCAGGGAGTGACATGTCCTCCAGGGACTGCTGACCTTGTCATTATAACAAGATGGGTCCAACAGCACAAGGCCACTTAATCCAATCCTCAACTTACCTCCTGCTTGATTTCTCCCACCATAGATTTTAACACTTCGGAAGAGTCGCCACGCAAATACTCTTCACAGTGCTCTGACTTAACCATCACTTTAAGATATCTGCAGAAAACGAGAAGAAAAAAAAAAAAGCCCTATCCACAAAACATCCCAATAGTGCTTCAGTTTCACAAGCCCTTTTGATATTTTTACTGACTTAAAGCATGCTCTTATTGCTTGCATTTATGTTTAAGTTTATACTAGACTTGGGAATGACTTCTGAAACAGTGGCTGGTGGGTAATGTTGCCTTTCAGATTAAGCCTGATAAATATAAAACATTGGACACAATACACTAAAAATCCATTGAGTTTGTGCAGCTGTAAACTTGAGAAGATATATAGCTTGACATCTCGGTCAGAGGATTGATTTTGTCAATTTCCTGAGATGACTAGTCAAAGACCATACTTTGTGGCCTGAGTACAACACCTGTTTTCTGCCATCAGTTTAAAAGATGAATTTAGAGGATTCTGGTCTCTAACCACGATTAACAGATTGGGAATATATCTAGTGCTCTCCAATTATGAAATCTTACCTCCTGGATAATGCTGAAATGCTAGAGCAGAGAGCCATTTCCAGGAAGTGAGGAAAATATTGTTACATCTACATCGGGTGAGAAGAAAAAAGGAAAGAGAAATTAGTTTGCTTGCCTATGAAATTTACACACATCAAATTCCTATAGTATTTCAAGCTTAGTTCAGATATCAATAATGATTTTAATAATATATAAAGCTTATTTAGCTCACATTCAAGAGGTACTGATGTTCACTATGGTGTCTACAATTAGGTTGGTTAATCCTCACAACCCTGTGAGGTACTATCATTTCCACTTTATAGAGACTGAAACAGAGGTTAAATGACTTACCCAAGGTCACACAGCTAGAAAGCTGCAGAACCGATATCTGAGCCTACGCTGTTTGGCTCCAGACTCTACATTTAACCACAATACGCTGACGACTCTATGCGTGCCTGGCTTCCTTCTTCCTCAGCCTCAGTTACCTCACCTGAGGAGATCCCACCACCAATTTCAAGATTCTTGAGGGATTAGCAGTGGAACGTTTGTGAGCAACCATGTCTTTATGTAGGGGGGGTCTCAACTGGCATTCACTTCTCGCCCCATGAGGAAAGATTTTCATTTCTGAGAAAAAAAACTGAAGCAGAGAAATATCTCAACAGAATTGGAAGGAGGAGCCATCTTCTACAACCACTCTTCTTCCTTTGTTCAGGAAGGTCAAATTCCCTTCTCCAGCTTTCTGTGATCACTTAGAGTAATGAGTACGCAGCTTAAGGTGCAGTCCAATTCGTCTCACCACAGGGAGGTAAATTCCTCACCAGCAAAGGAAACACTTCTGACAGCTCTTCAAATGCCCATGGCAGCTGCCAAGTTATCCCTTTCAATAATCTTCAAGAATCTCAACTCCCCTGGTAACCCTTCCTGGGTTCCAGCTTGACAAAACTCTGCCTTCAAAGTGTGGTCCTCAGAACAGAGCTGTGTCAGGTTGGATATGACCACAGCAGGAAAAAAGGGACATCAACCCCTCCCTTGATCTGCATTTTCTACTTCTATTAATGCAACCCAAGGTTTGTTCTCCAAGTAATGCTAAAGTAGCCATGCTGGTGATATCAGATCTCAGCTCCTAATCCCAGTTACCACCATCCTCCAAAACTGCCTCTTCATACCATCTGCCTAAAAAGTGACACCTTTGTAGGCTGGAACAGGAGAACAGGGCTATGAAACCATGCCTCTAAGCCCTCTAAATCAGCAGTCCCCAACCTTTTTGGCGCTAGGGATTGGTTTCATGGAAGGCAATTTTTCTACAGACTGGTAGTAGGGGAGGGTTTCAGGATGATTCAAGTACATTACATTTATTGTGCGGTCAAACCTCTGTTAATGATAATCTGTATTTGCAGCCACTTCCCAGTGCTAGTATCACTGCCTCAGCTCTACGTCAGATCATCAGGCATTAGATTCTTATAAGGAGCAACCTAGATCCCTCACATGTGCAGTTTAGAGTAGGGTTCGTGCTTCTATGAGAATCTAATGCTGCTGCTGATCTGACAGGAGACAGAGCTTATGCGGTGATGCCAGTGGTGGGGAGCAGCTGTAAATATAGGGGAAGCTTCAACAGCTCACCCACCTCTCACCTCCTGCTGTGTGGCTTGGTTCCTAACAGGCCACGAATGGTACTGGTCTGCTGCTCAGGGGTTGGCAACCACAGCTATAAGAGATTAAAACAATGTGAAGGCAAAACTTTGAGCTTCAGTTTGAACTGAAGCCACAACAGCCAACAGAGTCGACTCCTGTTGCTGACTCTAAGGCTGTTCAAATATTTCCAGCTCTCTCCTCTACAGACGCGAGAATCGTACTTCGTGACTCTCTTGTGTTTTGGTCTGGTTGTATGATTACTTCCAGCCAATGAGTGTCATTTCTGGCCAGAGCACTTAACTGCCATTGCAAAGACCCTGCAGAGCACCCTGCCCCCCTCAGGCCAAGTCACCAACAACTGTCAGGCTGGTGCCTGAGAGGCTGCAATGAGCCGAGCCCACCTGCCAGATACACAGACTATAGCCTGAGTGAGGAACATCTTTTGTTTTAAAGCCACTGAGATCTTGGGGCTCTTATGACCAGTCTAACTTAATGTATTCTGACACAACTCCATTGTTAAACTCCAGAAAAGGAATGGGAGTCTCCCCTAGATTCCTGCATGGCACCCAGTATCTCTAAGAGCTGACAGCTGCTCAACACTTTTTCTTCCCTCTTTTTTCTGATTGGGCTTAACGGCTTTATTTGAAATGAAAATACTTAGGATTATAAAGACTCCATTGTTATCTGATGAACCAGCAGGAAGATCCCCTCACTCAAAAGCTCTTAGGAAACAGCTATTTCCAGCAGCTGTGACAAGGACACCGGCTGTGCCCACCTTCCCAGCCACTGCCTCCAACTTCAGAGAGCGAAGGACCCCCCTCACATGTGAGCTCATGAACTCAGAGCTGGGAAGGGCCATTGAAGAAGGGCCGAAGACACAGTCAGGAACAAACTAAGCTTTGGAGCAGCCCTGCCGGCAAGTCACATTCTCCCTAGGAACAGCTTTCTGCCCAGTGACATCCTTCCTTCCAGCCTGCTGAGGCAGAGCCGACCCAAGGAATGAGAAACTTCCAGCAGAAGCACTTTTCGACTGTGCAAGTGCAGTCCAACTGTTTCCACACAGGTCATGGCCAGCAACAAATAGTGGTGACATTAAAAAGTTACCAAGTTCTGCATTTTGTTTTTTGCTCTGCCAGGCATGGGAAAGTGGCACCCTGCAGAGTGCCTGGTGGCTACAGAACGTCAAAGTCAGAGGACTGTCTGGGGCTTGCTGGTTCTCTTTCCATCTATTAGATGGTCACATCGGTGGAGGATTCCCATCTCTCCCCACCAGCCAAGGGGGAAGGCCCAGGTACACAACACTTAGCTAGAATAGAATCAGCTTCCTGGGCTCCCCACCAGCCCTTGAACCAAATCAACATCAGAATGTGGGTATTGAGAGAAAAGTTAACTTAAACCTCATAGGATTCTAAAACTATATTTTTGCAGAGTGGGTGAGGAAGTCAGAAGATAGGGAGAAAATACCTATTTTTTCTGCATGGCATTTAGGAGGAACTACCTGGTACTCATACCCATTGGATCCCCATTGCGTACTCCCATGATGACTGAAGCAGAAAAACAAAGTACCAGAACTGAGAAAATATCTCTAGAGCATTCTTTTTTTTTTTTTTTTTTTTTTAGACAGAGTCTCGCTTGTTGACCAGGCTAGAGTGAGTGCCGTGGCGTCAGCCTAGCTCACAGCAACCTCAAACTCCTGGGCTCAAGCAATCCTTCTGCCTCAGCCTCCGAGTAGCTGACTACAGGCATGTGCCACCATGCCGGCTAATTTATATATATATTAGTTGGCCAATTAATTTCTTTCTCTTTATAGTAGAGATGGGGTCTTGCTCAGGCTGGTTTCGAACTCCTGACCTCGAGCAATCCGCCCGCCTCAGCCTCCCAGAGTGCTAGGATTACAGGCGTGAGCCACCGCGCCCGGCTTCTAGAGCATTCTTTAAGACCCTTCTCCTCACTCAAAGCCCTGCCTTGCTACGATTCCATAAAGTCTAAAATCACAAGCTGTTATTCAGTGAGTTTACCATTGTATTTCCTGAAGTTCCTAAAAGGAAGATACTCTAAGGACAGGTAACATCTGGGCAACAGCTATGTATCAAGTAACTTGCTGGCTCCAGGGAATACGCCAGGAAACAAGTCAGATGACAAGGTAGCCGTCCTCATGCCACTTGCATTCCAGTGAGAGAGAGATAATGAACACAAATATCACTGACAGCAATACGACTCTGAAACGATTTAAACAGACTGATGTGACAGTCACTATTGGTGGCATCTGAGCAGAGATCTGCAGGATAAAAGGGACTTGGACAAGCAAAGAGCTACAGATACTAACAGAAATTAGGTTATCTAGGAAGCTAGACAGGATAATTTGGAGGAAGGGAAGGCAGGGCCAAATTCAGGCCTAATTCTCTTAGGCCTGCCTCAATGCACGACAGCACTGAAAACAGCCCAACAACTTGAAGTAGCAATGCGTGGGTAATCCCTGGGTGATGAGGAGAGCAGCCTAATCCAACCCATAGCTTATCAGCAAGGTGAAAAGTGGATGACACTTGGAACACGTGGCAAGGTCCCCAACAGGCGCTTAGTGGGCCTTCTGCCATCCTGATGCAGAGCTTTCCGCAGGACGGTGAGTGTGGGTCAATAGGGACCCCTCATCCATCTATCCTTTGCCACCTTTCTTTTTTTTTTTTTTTTTTTTTTTTTTTTGAGGCAGAGTCTCACTTTGTTTCCCAGGCTAGAGTGAGTGCCGTGGCGTCAGCCTGGCTCACAGCAACCTCAATCTCCGGGGCTCAGCGATCCTACTGCCTCAGCCTCCCGAGTAGCTGGGACTACAGGCATGCGCCACCATGCCCGGCTAATTTTTTGTATATATATTTTTAGTTGGTCAATTAATTTATTTCTGTTTTTGGTAGAGACGGGGTCTCGCTCAGGCTGGTTTCGAACTCCTGACCTTGAGCAATCCGCCCGCCTCGGCCTCCCAAAGTGCTAGGATTACAGGCATGAGCCACCACGCCCGGCCTTTGCCACCTTTCTGACCTCAACCCAGTCTCTGAAGCTTTTCACTGTGGCTTCCAGTTCTACTAGCCTCCAGCACTACTAATCCTGGCACCAGCAGCTTGGAACGAACAGGCATGGCCCAACATCGAGACTCTGTGAGATCTCATCTCTGCCCTCCAGTGAGTACAGGTCTAAACACTCAGGACGTAATCCCCAGACATCAGATACACAGTAGTGCTGAATTAGAGCACAGCTTCAACTCCCTAAAGAGACTGAGAGTTCTAGTCAATTCTCCTGCAGAAGTTATAACTGCCAAGTTTGCCCAGAGATGAGAAGGAAAATAATGGAAGAGAGAACATTTGCCTCTGGCACTTGGGGGGACAAGGAGCTCTAGAGGACTCTTCCACTGCAGAGCCAGGTCTTGATGAGGATACACACAAAATTCATTGTTTGCAAAGAAGAGGTC